GGAGGCAGAGTCAAGGTTGGAGAAGGTGTGGATTGGGGATGTTGCACTAGTTGGTCCTTGAATAACCTCTGTCGCTGTGAATCTGTGCCACCGAGGGACGCGCTGACAGGAGACCTCCTACAGGCAGGTGCAGGTGAATTAGAAACGAGGGTTTGCCTGGTGCCCACAGGAGTCCCACCCGGAGGCGCTGGTGGTCATTTTGTTCTGAGGCCTGGGGTGGGGGTTGGGGGTGGGGGGGCTGGGACACAGAGGGAGCCCAACAGCACATCGTCCCTGCCCCTCCCTCCCCAGGCTCCCCCCACACTGTGTCTTAGGACCACAGGGGATGCTGGGTGTGGGAGCCACGAGTAAACATGGCAAGAAAGGGGATCTCGTTTTAAGCAAATGGACTTCCTGAGGAATCATACACACGGGACATTGTCCTACGTGAACAGATTCCCCATAAGTAATCTTCAAATCTCAGCGTGTTAGAAGTAGAGAAGGGGCTTTAGAGATTGGCTCAGCCAACTTCCGATTGTACAAACAGGGTCTCTGAGGCCTGAGGAGAAGGCCACGCAGCAAAGCCGGGGTGCAGACCAGGGCCCTGATTGCAGCGGCGGTTCTTTTCTTTCTTTTTTTTATTATCATTAATATATTTTATTGATTTTTTAATATTTTATTGATTTTTTTACAGAGAGGAAGTGAGAGAGATAGAGAGTTAGAAACATCGATGAGAGAGTCATCGATCAGTTGTCTCCTGCACGCTCCCCATTGGGGATGTGCCCGCAACCAAGGTGCATGCCCTTGACCAGAATCGAACCTGGGACCCTTCAGTCCACAGGCCGATGCTCTATGCACTGAGCCAAACCAGTTTCAGCTGCAGTGGCGGTTCTTTTCCCGTTTGTTCACTGTCCGCAGTGCCGTCTGTGTGTGTGTGTGGAGGAGTCTTCTCAGGTTTGGAGTGGAGAGCACTGGATGAGGCCAGGGAGATGGGTTACCCTGAGCCGGGCTTCCTCCCGCTGACAGGTGACCTCAGGCAAATCCCTCGATGCTCCGTGGCCTGGGGAGAGAAGCCCCACCTTGATGGTTGCGAGGAGTAAATGAGCTGAAAAATTCGAGGCCCCTGGCACAGCGTGGGCATGAATGCTGGTCCCCAGACTCGGCGTTCGATTCGAGCGTCAGACCGCCTCAGTTTGTGCTCCATTCGGCTCTCACTGCCTTAACCTCCCGTGCTGGTTACAGACCCCCCCCCCGTCTCCGTTTTCTCATCTGCGGTAGGAGGATAACGGTGGCACTGTGGTTCCAACCGTGTGCCTAGGCACCCCGGGGTGCCGCAGCCAGTTCACAGGGGTGCTGTGAGGTATTTTTAATCTTTAAGGAAACACGGTAGCACTGGACGGCTGCCAGCCCCTGCGACAGCTGCTCGTCCTAGACAGCGTATAGCTTCAGCATTACATCACACTTCTTTCAGAGCTATGGCATCACAGCTTTGAAAAGCTGGGGTTCGGGCATTCGGGGTACCCTGAGACAGTCAGTGTCCACTCTGACCCCAAGACTTGAGACCTTCTGTGGTGCCTCATTAGTAAGTCAGTCACTGTGGCTTGTTTAGGAACGGACTACAAGTGATCTTTTACTTTCAAATCATGTGTGTTGTTTTCTCAAATGGCTACTAAGGGGTTAGGATATGCACGCTCTCACTGACGCTGTTTAGATTAAGGTGACCAGATGTCCCGCTTTTGGCGGTACAGTCCCATGGGATGCGGGACAAATTGTTAAAAATGGAGACGTCACCTTAGTTTAGATCCAACTACATAACAAGCAGAACCCTAGGAATTTCTTTTGGCCTTACAGTAAGTATTACCCAGAAAAGTTCCAGGGGAAATTGCCAAGACACTCAAGACCGGAAAGGTCTGGGACACTCTGCCTAGGGTTGGTGTGGGCTCTGTGAGTTTATTCGAAACGCTTCCTGACGGCATCTGGCGGAGAGAGCACCCAGGAACCCCACTCTCCACCTTTCTTCTCCCTCTGGCTGGCGCCCCCGGGCAGGCTCAGGTGGCCCTGGTCTGGGAGGGACACCTGTGGGGCCTCCCTCAGCCGTGAAGCCCGAGCCAGGGCCAAGGAGGAGGGGAAGTGTCCAGCGGTGAGGGCAGGGGCCCAGTTCAGCTGCTACCTGCCCCAGCGGCAGCGGCAGCCCCCTGTATGTAATTTGCATCTGCTGAGCACATCCTGCATGCCAGCCGGCCTGTAGTCTGCCAGGGTCCCTCTGGGGAGGAATCGGGGGTCGGTTTTGGGATCCTCTTTCTTGTCTCTCAGCAGCATTTGCCTCCCGGAGCCTGGGGAGGGGGTGGGGTTGTTGGCAAGGGGGCAGCAGCTACACCGAGGGCCACCTGCACTGTCACGACAGAGAGGCGCTGAGGAAGACGCCCAGCCATCCTCCTGCCAAGGCCAGGGATGAAGCTCTGTGCCAGGGCTGAGAGGAGGGGTGGGGCCGGGCGGGCAGGGCCTGGCGCGCTAATGGACATCTAATGTTTAAATGTTTTCTTTGCCCTGCCGCGCCTGTGCCAGCTTTTAAATAAGCCGCGTTAGGGTTATAAAACTGTCATAAACGCAGCCTGCAGTGCCACAGCCAGCCAGGGAAGTGGTTACCTGGGGCCCACGTGGTTAGAAGGTGGGGTGAGCACACAGCTGCCCCAGGGGCGCCCACACACCTTCTCTTGGGGTCACCCCCCTCCCAGAGGAAGGTCCAGTCACAGATGAGGCACCTGAGGTCAGTCAGGCCCAGTTCAGACCCTGGGGACCCTCCCACTGACAGGTGATCTCAGGCAGATCCCTGCCTTACACCCACCTTGAACAGGATGGTGGGAGGTGGGCGTGGAGCCTGGCAGGCTCTCTGCTGCCCACCTGCCCTCTGATCTCCAACCTGCTCTCCCCACGGCTGCCTGCCTGGCAGAAAGGCCACAGTGACCAGCTCTCAGGCCACTGGGAGACCAGTGCCCAGCTTCCCGGGCACTGAATCCTCTCACCACCAGCAGCCCAAGCTGCCAGGCCCTAGAGGCTGCCCCTGTGCCTCGCTGAGGGAAGGGAACACCAGGGGGCCCTGACCTGGCCTGAGGTACCCCTGCGACTCTCAGTTTAGCTGCCCACTCACCTGCTGGCCCTGGTCAGTCACCTGCCTCATTTGGATGAGCTTCCGTTTCCACAGCTTTGAAACAGGAAGGATGCTTTCAGCCTCACTGGACCTTTGGTGTAGAGTCCCAGCCAATGTCAGGGTCTGTTGGGATTCTCGGGGGACGCCGGTGTGTGCAGCTGCTCCAGTGGTGGGCAGTGTGGAGTCCCGGGCAGCGTCCTAACACTGAAGTCTGTTTCTGGGGTTCTTGGCTGTGCCTCCTGCTTGCTGTGTGCCCCTGGGCAAGTTGCTCAACCTCTCCAACCTCAGTTTCCCCATTTATAAACTGGGGACTGATATATAACATGCCTTACAAGGCTGTTGCAAGAATTAGGTACATGTTCCATAACGTATGGAAAACATAGCTCGTAATGTGGGATGAGCATTAGTTGTGTTTTTAATGCAGTGGCTTGTGCCTCCTCGGCGCTCGGCACCTCCCAGGCACACATACATGGCTATCTCCTATGACCTGCGCTCTTTGAGGTGAAGTTACTGGGTTGGAGTTCAGGGGCTCTGCCTGGGTCACTCACAGCATTCTGGATGGAGCTGAAATCACACCCTTTCTTGCTGGCTTTTTTCTTTCTCTTCCCCTGGGGTCAGTATGTGTGTCTCTCTCGCTCTCGCTTCCCTCCCTCCATTTCTCTCTCTCTGTCACACACACACACACACACACACGCACACACACACAGCCGGGAGCTCCTGAAGCGCCGGTCCTAGCAGGAGCTGCTGGTGCACAGGGTCAGCGTGGCCTGGGGCAGTCAGGTGTGTGTGGTTCCTTCAGGAGGACAAGCACCCGGTCTCAGCTGAGCGCTGGGCGCTGGGCGCTAGGCGCTGGGCACTGGGTGCTGGGACGGGGACGGTAGCTGGCTGGTGAGGGCGGGGCCGGCCTGGGCACCCTGTGGCTTAATGTGTTGCTTCCTCTGGCGCAGTTAGCAGAGGAGGACAAGCTCCCGCCACGTGTCCCCGCCACCTGATCGCCTGGCACTTGGCACTGGAAAGTCAATTTTCCTGAGTGGATGGCGCACCAATAGCCTGGCGCGGCCCGGTTTTCCCCAGCCCAACGCTGGGTGGCGGGCTGCTCCCCCTTCCTGTTTGTCTCACCTCCTGAGGGGCTGCTCTGCCCAGGCAGGCGGGCAGCCAGGTTTTCAGGGGAAGATGGACAGACAGCCTCAGTGTATGCCCGGCTTCTGACGTCTCCTTCCCTTAGGGCGGAGGGATGGACGTGGCCGAGGTGGGGAAGGCTCGGATCAGAGCCCCAGCCCAGAGGAGGGAACTCAGGTGGAGCTGCTGGGAAGGTCGTCTTCCCCTCCGTGCTGCCCCCTGCCTTGGGCTTCCTGGAGGAGGAGGCCTGCCGGGCCGCCCCCGGGGAGCCCAGGACTGGTGCAGCCGCCCCACCTCACCCATCCATCGCCCTGTAGGTCTCAGCTCTTCTCCCCACTCCCGTCGCCCGGCTGGCTGGGGCTTCGGGGCAGGGCTGGCCTGGTTTGAGCTCCAGCCTCAAGCGTACTATGCATCACCGTGAGAAATTGGAGGGGGGCCGGCGAGGGCTCGTGCTGGAGGGCCACAGGGGTGCCTCGCCTCAATGGGTCCCCTCCCCTGGCCATGCCATCCCGATGTCTCCTCAATAAGGAAGATCACACACAGCATCCTAGGCTGGGATTGGCTCCACAGCAGAGCCTCCTAACAGGGCAGGGTGGGGAAGCTGAGGCGCAGGGGAGCCAGACCTTGCCCGGGTCACAGCAGGCATCTCCAGTATCTCCGATGCCCCTCTGTCCGCCATGGGCTCCTGGGCGGTCAGTGGGTGGCCCTGGCCTCCTCAGCCTCCGGCCTCACCGAGCCTTCCCTCCCTCCACAGGCACTGATTCGGGCAGCGAGGTGCTCCCTGAGTCCTTCCCCTCAGCGCCGGCCGAGCCGCTGCCCCACTTCCTGCTGGAGCCGCAGGACGCCTACATCGTGAAGAACAAGCCGGTGGAGCTGAGCTGCCGCGCCTTCCCCGCCACGCAGATCTACTTCAAGTGCAACGGCGAGTGGGTCAGCCAGAACGACCACGTCACGCAGGAGGGCCGGGACGAGGCCACCGGTGAGCCGCCCCCCTGGCCCGGGCACGCCCCGGGCGCCAGGGGCACCCCCAGCCCGGAGGTGTCAGGGACCCTGGGTCCTGGGCTTCGCCACCCTAGACCCGGTGGGAGACCTCCAGCAGCCGTGGCGCCCCTCGGGGCCTCAGTTTCCCCTCTGTGGTTCGCCCGGGATCAGTATTTTCCCAAGGGTCAGCCGCACGGCCCAGGCTGACGTTGGGTGGTCGGGGGAAGTAGCACCACTGAATCCCTTGCTGAGCTGAGCGCTGGCTCCCTTTCCCAGTTTCTTCCCATCCTGCTCGGCTCGGGGAGCACGTCTAGCCGGGGGCCAGGGTTCCTCACCAGCACCCAGCCAGGCTCTGCCTCCTGCCCACCCCTTCCCCCTGATTCCCCCGCCCTGCCTCAGGAGCAACCAGGGTCTTCTGCTCCAGACACAGCCCCCTCGCCTGCCGGTTTGGGCTTTACCCTAGCAGCACTTCTATGATTATTTGCTGAATATCAGCCCTTTGGAATGAAAACAATGCATTTCTGTGAAGGAAGCGCTGTCCCTACCGGGAATGGGAACTGTCACTCCCACAAACGGACAGGACCTGGGACACGGAGGATGGCCTAGAGTCAGCCCAGGCCAGGGCGCCCCCATAGAGCCGGCTCCTCTCTGTTAACCCCGGTGCACGGCAGGTGCTGGTCACCCGCAGACCACCCGGGGTGGGCAGCCCCAAACCCAGGCCCCCGTGGCTCCCTGGCCCCAGTGCCTGCCTCGGCCTTCGTGTGTGCATTTCTTCCTCGATCCATTTCTTCCTCCTCCTTGTCTGGCCCCCTCTGGTTTCCTTCTGTGCCCCACCTCTCCCTCTGGTCCCCGTCTCTGCCTGCGTCTTTTTTCCTTATGCCCCCCACCCTCCCCTCTCCCTCTCTCTGTCCCCACCCCCACCTTAATCCTTTCTTTTTTTTCCTCCTCTCGTTCAGCCTCACTCTCTGTGTGTCTCCTCCCCTGACATTCTTTCTCACTCTTTCTCCTTTTCTCTCTCTTCCCCAACTTCTGTTTTTCGATGAAAAAGCTCACACATTTCAGACCCACACCACCCAGGCTTCAAACGTATACCCCATAAGGTACTTAATATCACGGAACTAGAAATGGTTAAAATGGCAAGTCTTCTATCGTGAATCTTTTGCCAAACTTTTAAAAGAACATTTTAAAAATAGAGCCGGAGTTGCATTCTTGCCCCAAATCTAAAAATAAAAAAGCAGTTTTTTAAGAGACAAATAATCTATGCCAGCCACCCCCACACTCTGGGTGAGTGGTCCCAGGCAAGTGGCTCAGCCTCTCGGAGCTCACGCTTCTCTCTCTGACCTGGGGGCCGCCTGGTGAGCGCCTTTTCCTCCGTCCTCTGCCTTTAAAACTTGGCCTTCCTTCTCTGTCCTCCTGAGCCCCTCCGGCCTATATCGGAGGTCAGCATGGGAGTCCAGGCAGAGGAAGGGGACAGTGTACCCCGCTGGGGACCCCCACAGCCCCTGCAATTATTAGTAACAGTAGCAGCGTGGCTCTTACCCTCCCACTACCAGGCGCATGAGCCCCGCCAGCGCTAGGAACTGGGGCACTGTGGTCCCGTTAGCTACAGAGAATGGACAGTGGTCCCGTGGGCCACTCCCCTGGCACTTCCTGAGGCCCTGAAAACACCGAGGAGGGCTACTTTGGGCCAGGACAGGCGGGACTGGTGGCAACTCCTTCCCAGTTGGGGCAGGCAGCCCAGTTCCGTGTCCTCACCGAGGCACTGCCTGCCAGGCTGCCATCCTCGGGGGGGTGGGGGGGAGGCGGGCACGGGGGAGCACATGCTGGGGCCCACGTCTAGGAGGCCAAAGGCGGCCCCATCATCCTCTCTGCCTGCCAGGACCATCACCAAGGTGTCAAGCTGCCCGGGACGATGGTGTCCCTCTGTCCACCGGGTGGGTGTTGCCGAAACCGTTTGGATGGGTGATCCCCTCTGCCAGGCTCACCACCTGGAGACTAAGAGCCAGGGACCTGCTCTCCGGCCCTGGGCCTCACAGCATCACGTGATGGGCCAGCACGCCAGGCAGCCACTGCGGGCAAGCAGAACCCCTCTCTCCCTCCCACCTTCAAAGCAGCCTTTTCCCTCCTGCTGCTCCCCAACAGCAAACGCTAGCCCCCTCCCATTGAGGTCCCTGGCTGTCAAGAGGGGGGCTCCCCGGGGTAAGCCCCTCCCCCTGGAATGCAGGAGAGTTCAGGCAATGACTTTGTTGGGAGAATGTCCAGAGAGACATCATGTGTCAGGGACAGCGTTCTACCCTGGCAGCACACCAAGAGCCCTGATCTCAGCTCTGCTGGCACCTTGCTGTGGGCCTTTGGGCCTGCCACCCGCCCTTTCTGAATGTACACGAGGGGCTGGACGAGGTCCAGATGACCGACAGGGTGGCTTGTGTCCAGCGTGAGCTGTGTGCCGTGGCCCAGGAAGTGCCCTGATTCATTTGGTGTTTTACCCTGAGTGTTTTATTGTGATGAGGGGCCAGAGGCTCAGAGAGGCTAAGTAACTTAGTGAAGGTCTCACTCAGAGAGCTGGGGCGGGAGGGTGAGGCCAGGATTCAAACCTACCCGTCGGTCCAGCTTTGTTTAACCCACCGTGTCACAGTACGGCATGTGCGCAGTCGGCAGCCCTGCCCTCAGGGGGCTTCTTAGCACCCATGTGCAGCCATGAACGTGTGAGCTGGGACACATGGCAGGGAGGGGCAGCCGAAGGGATTCCGGGGCAGGGGAGTCTGAGAGGGCTTCCTGGAGGAGGAGGTTTCGCCGTTCTCCCACAAGCTTTGGGGAGGAGCTTCGGACGGCCCCCTCACCCAGGGGGCTCACTTTTTCTCCTGAGCCTAGAAGGCTTTGTCAGGGGAGAGTTAGCAGAAGAGTGAGTGATCCCTCTCTGTGAGCTAGTAGATGCAGTGATCCAGGGAGGCCTTCAGGTCCTGACAGGGAGCCAGTGAGAGGCCAGGGTCCTCCCCTCAGCTCCAGCCCCACAGGCTCCGGGGGGCCGTGACCAGGGAGAGGCTGCGTGCTCTCTTCAGATGTGTAGGGAGCCCTCTTCTAGGCCAGAGCGGTCATCAGGCAAAGCCCCGCCTCCCTCTCCCGCAGGAGGCAGATGGCACACCCAGGAGCACATCCAGGAATGATGCTGTTCCCCACTGTGGTGGGTGCTGTGGGGAGACCAGGCTGGGCAGGAATGACAGCCAGCGTCTGGTGCGGTGTCGGGGCACGGAGCAGTCCATTGAGAGCCGGTGGGCATGGACCAGGGTCCGGGGGCCCAGCCCAAAGCTGACTGGGAGTTCACTGCACACAGGACAGAAGGGAGTTCTGTGCACAGAGCCTGTGGCTGGAGGGATCAGGATAGCATGAGGATCTGGGGCTGCAGTGAGTAGATTGTGCAAGGCCTGGGGGCCAGAGGAAGGGCCTGGGTCTTCACGCCGAGCGGACCCGAGACATAACCCGGGGAACGGCATGCCAAATGTTGTGGATCTGGAGGAGCACACGCTGGCTTCGGGTGGAGAGTGGATTGGATGGGGGGAGAGGGCTTGTCTTAGCCATTGCCATTCCCCGGTGAGCGGCAGTGGCGGCTGGGGTCCGGGTGGCGGCAGTGATGAGAAGGTAGATGGGAATGAGAGGCCTGGAGCCAGAAGGACTCGGGGGGCAGAAAGGAGGAGACGTCATGGCGCCCTGCCCTATGCCCCTGACTGTCTCTCCTCCTCCCAGGCCTGCGGGTGCGAGAGGTGCAGATCGAGGTGTCTCGGCAGCAGGTGGAGGAGCTGTTCGGGCTGGAGGATTACTGGTGCCAGTGTGTGGCCTGGAGCTCTGCGGGCACCACCAAGAGTCGCCGGGCCTACGTCCGCATCGCATGTACGCCAGCCACCCTGACATCCCCCTCCACACGCTCCGGTCCCTGGGTCCTTTCCCCGTCCCCGTGGATCCTGGAGTGGGAATCCCACACACTCGGGTGGTATCTAGCTGAAAACACCCCCCCACAGAGACATCAGGGCCCACGGACGCCAGCTCAGGGCGGGCTTCTATCATAGACCCCGAACCTGGGCTGCCCCTGGCCCACAGATTTCACTATAAAGGCCAGTTTTCACTATATTCATACACAAGGAAGCTGCCAGCTTCCTCACCACTCCAGGCCATCGGGGAGGGAACCCTGTGTCAGCAACTCCCCCTGGTAAGGCCCCACTTTAGAGAGGAGGCTAATAATATCCCCCAGGTAAAAGCCCGGCGTCCCCACACGAATGTTCCCTTGGTGTGCACTGCCACCTCGTGGCTGGAATGGGGCACTTCAGCCTCCAGACTGGGCCTTGTCCCCTCCCTCTTCCCAGATCTGCGCAAGAACTTCGACCAGGAGCCTCTGGGCAAGGAGGTACCCCTGGACCACGAGGTTCTCCTGCAATGCCGCCCTCCAGAGGGGGTGCCTGTGGCTGAGGTGAGTGGGAACAGGGAGGACGCTGGGCATGGCAGAGGCCAGTGAGCATGGCGTTAACACCAGCCATGATAGGATGCCCCCGGCTCCCAGAGCCCTCCCCACTTCACAGAGCGGGGAACTGCCACCTCTGCCCAGCTCAGCACATGCCAGACCCCGGCTGGGCCCTCTGCAGGGTGCCCCATGGGATGCAACAGAACTGGGGCCAGAACCCCTGGGACTCCTTGGGTTGGCTGTAGGCTGTGCACCCCACAGCCCCCCCTAGTGGTCATTTTTAAAAATATATATATTTTATTGATTTTTTACAGAGAGGAAGAGAGAGGGATAGAGAGTTAGAAACATTGATGAGAGAGAATCCTTGATCAGCTGCCTCTTGCATACTCCCTACCGGGGATGTGCCCGCAACCATTGTACACGCCCTTGACCAGAATCGAACCCAGGACCTTTCAGTCCGCAGTCCGACGCTCTATCCACTGAGCCACACCGGTTTCGGCCCCAGTGGTCATCTTAACCACTGTGTTTTGTTCTGTGCTGCTCTGCGCGGGGCCTGGCTGGCGGAAGCCAGGTGGGTGGACACGGAGAAAACCGCCTCCCTGCTTCCTGCCAGGCCTCCCTAACGCTCCAGAGAGGAAGCAGCCCCTGGGTCCTCACGCCCCACCACCCTGTCCCTGCAGGTGGAGTGGCTCAAAAACGAAGACGTCATTGACCCCACCCAGGACTCCAACTTCCTGCTCACCATCGACCACAACCTCATCATCCGCCAGGCCCGCCTGTCCGACACGGCCAACTACACCTGCGTGGCCAAGAACATCGTGGCCAAGCGCCGCAGCACCACGGCCACCATCATCGTCTATGGTGCGGCCAGAGGGGGCGGGCATGGCCCGTGGGGGGCGGGGGTAGCCCAGGGCTAGGTGGCCACCTGACCCGCCCTACTCAGGACACAGCCGGACCCTGGGCAACAAGTGAGCAGGATGGAGCCCACAAGGTTACGTGGCAAAACTAGTGGTCGAGTGAGGCCCCTGAGCCCCTGGCCAGGAGCACCCACCCTTCCCAGACCCTTTTCCTGCCCCCGAAGGAGAAGACCTGACTCGCTCAGAGTCAGATCTGGGGCACGGCCAGTCGGGATCCACACCCTGGTCGGCAATCTCATTACTCAACAGAGCCAAATATCAACCACACAACGATTGAAATTTCTTTTGAGAGCCACATTTTTTAAACTTAAACTATGTGGGAGGTACATTATTATTAACTTGATTCGGGTGCTCTAAGCTAGCCTTTGGAAAACTCAAAGGGCCAAAAAGCTGCATGTGGCTTGCAAGCCACAGTTTGCCGACCACGGCCCTAGCCCATTGCCCTAGCAGAGTTAGGGGCTGCTGGTCCGGCCCAAAGGCTGTTCCTTGCTGTCCCCTGGGTGGGAGCGGAGCCGCCCCTGAGATTCCTTGAATGTTGCAGAAGGAACCCCACACTGGGTTCCAGTCCCAGGTCCCCGATCACTCACGGGAGATCCTGGGGGTCAGCCCTCTCTGACTGTCATTTGTCATGTTACCAGGGGGCGGAGAACAGACCGGGTGCTGAAGGTTGCAGCCAGGTCTGCCTGCTGGTATCTGAGTGTCCAGCTCTGCAGGCAGGAGGGGTCCCGCTAGGAAGGGCCAGCCTCAGTAGAAGACTCGTCAAGGGTGGAGAGAGAGGGTTTGGGGATCCATGGGGGTCACAGGGCCGGGCCACTGGGGTGACACCTGCTGCCCCCTGCAGTGAACGGCGGATGGTCCAGCTGGGCCGAGTGGTCGCCCTGCTCCAACCGCTGTGGCCGCGGCTGGCAGAAGCGCACACGGACCTGCACCAACCCCACCCCGCTCAACGGAGGAGCCTTCTGCGAGGGCCAGGCCTTCCAAAAGGCTTCCTGCACCACCGTGTGCCCAGGTAAGGCCTCTGGCCAGGTGAGGCCCTGCCCACATCAAGCTCGCACCCAGCCCCCAGCCCTGTCTTCTGCTGTGGTGTCTGCCAGAGTCAGGACACCGCCTTCGCGTGGGGAAGAGCAGGTGCTTGTCCCAGGGCCCACAGCTGGCTGAAAAGGTCAGAGGTCATGGCTAAGTGCCATGACCTCTGACCTTTGTCCTTCCCTGGCTGCCGAAGAGACGAGGCAATGGCTCTGAGCTGAGTTCTGGTTGGAGGGGAGGGCTCTTCTGCCCTCTGCACTGAGGGTGCCCGCCCCCTGGGCCAGGGTCCCAGAGCTGCTTGGAGTTAGGGTGCCTGCACTCCTGTACTTGACTGTCAGGCACACCGTGGCTGCTAACCCTCGTCCGCTTCTCCTTTTGTCTTTGTGTAACTGCCTCTCCATCTGTGTGTCTGCCCTTGCTTGTCTGGCTGTGTGTCCTGTGGTTACATGTTTCTGTGGGTGTGGTATCTGCTGGATTTGTGTCCTTGTGTATGTATTTGTGCATTGGGCTGCCTCTGTGGGTCTTTATGCATCTACTTGTGTTCTCTTTGCCCACCGGGCACATCTGGCTCTGCCTTGGTATGGGGCTGTGTGGATGTGGCATGGATTTCTCTGTATGGCCTGTATGGTGTCTTGTGTTCTATGCACATAACTGTGTGTGTGTGTGTGTGTGTGTGTGTGTGTGTGTTCTCATGTACCATTTGCTATGCTCCCATAGTGGATGGAGCGTGGACAGAGTGGAGCAAGTGGTCAGCCTGCAGCACGGAGTGTGCCCACTGGCGCAGCCGGGAGTGCATGGCACCCCCACCCCAGAACGGAGGCCGGGACTGCAGCGGGACCCTGCTCGACTCCAAGAACTGCACCGACGGGCTGTGCATGCAGAGTGAGTCCTCGGGAAGACGAACGAGGGACACCCCGGCTGCGCCCCCAGGCCTCAGTGCCCCTCGGGGCCTCTGCCCACCCACCACTTCCATCATCTCATTCGGGCCATTCTCCGTCACCTTCTCTACCACCTTTCCCTGCCACCTGTGTCATTGTCTTTCCCTTTATTTCCCTCAACAGATAAGAAAACTCTAAGTGACCCCAAAAGCCACCGTAAGTCCTATTTCATCGCTGTCCTCTTTCCTCCGGGGCCCTCCATGGTGGCTTTTCCAGGGTTTGGGGGGGAGGTGCCTGCCCACCGACCCTCCGCAGGTTCCTAGGACCCGCCATAGGTGTCTCCCTCCGTTACACGCAGACAGGCAGACCCTGGGCTGACAGAAAGGCCCAGGGGCAGCATCTTGACCCTCACTATGCGGGACAAGAAGCTAAGCCTGAGAAGGCACTTGCCCAGGGTCCAGCCAGGTTTGAAGTGGATGTTTTCCTGGCGAACCTGCCACTCTCAGCCCCATCCCCTTGGCCTCCTCTCTGGACCAGTGCCAGGGGGCAGGCCCACACCTGTCCATCACGGTGCCCCACTCTGTACCTCGGCAGCTGGCCAGAGCCTCCTAAGATCCCTGGGCTGCCGTCAGCCCCGGGGGCTTGGCCTCTAGCCCCCAGAGGCTGCACTGTGTTAACTCAAGAACAGTAAAGCCAAGGGGGAGATAGGCCTGTAGTATTTCCAATAATTCTGGAGCCATAAAATCAGCAGTGAGCCCCTCCCCCAGCCCACTGGGGGCCGAGCTGCTGACTGATTAGAGAGTGTAAATCTCCAGGCCAGTGACCACAGTGGTTAGCGGGGCATCAGGAGACAGAGCCCAGCCCTGGGAGTAGAAGCCCCCAGAGGGGTGGCTACCAGAAGGTGCAGAAGTGGGCGGGCATGGTGCCCTCCCCAAGGGCCCAGGGATAGGAAAAATGCCACCTAGGACTCCCACAGCAATTACCTTGGTTCTGCCTGTGCTGTCCAGTACGGCTCCTTAAACTTATATTCACCTTAATAAATTAAATGTGTTTAGAAATCCAGCTCCTAAGTCTCACTGGCCACGTTTCCGTTGCTCAGTGGCTCCATGCGGTTGAGACATAGTGTCTTCATTCATCACCATGGGAAGTCGGTCGGCCAGCCCTTTAGTCCCCGAGTCTTGACGGGACCCTTCCTGCCCGCTGGGTGGAGTCAGTCCAGCTGTGCAGCAGCTGCCTGCCCCCACCTGCGCTGGTGTCCTCTAGCCCACTGGCCTGCCCGGGGGAGGGGAGTGTAGTCAACCATCGCCTCTCTGAGCCCCTTCCTTTGCCTCCACCTGCTCACTTCCTCTCCACCCCATCGCCCTGCATCTCATTCCCCTCCACCTGCTCCCCTTCCCGCCCCTCCACCTCCACAGAGCGGGAGCCGGGTGGGTCCAAGGCCTCACTTGCAAACATGGCGGGGAGCCTGGTCCTCTGGAGATTTGCAGGGGCTGCAAGTGAGACTCTAGTTTGGATCCCAGTTCCGACGGGACAAACTGTGACTGAGCCACAGGCCCTGGCTCCTCAGCAGTGAGCAGTGAGTCACTCCTGGGAGTGACCAGTCCCTTGGCCTCTCCTTGCCACACTGAGCGGGGAGCAGGCCAGAGGTTTTGAGGCCATTTTACTTAGAGAGACTGGTGCTCAGAGAGGTTCAAGCCCTGCCTGAGGTCACCAGCCTGTCGTGGCTGGGATCGGACTAGAACCCAAGCCCTGCCCCTCCCTAGGGACCCCGGGCCCCCCTCGCTCCCCCCGGGCCTGGGCCCCAGCCCCCGCCCTCACACAGCCCTCCCGCCCCGCAGTCCTGGAGTCCTCGGGGGACGTGGCGCTGTACGCCGGCATCGTGGTGGCCATCCTGGTGGTGGCGGCGGTCCTCATGGTGGTGGCGGTGGTGGTGTACCGCCGCAACTGCCGGGACCTGGACACGGACATCACCGACTCGTCCGCCGCCCTCACCGGGGGCTTCCACCCCGTCAACTTCAAGACCGCGCGGCCCAGTAAGACCGGGGACACCTGGTTGGCAGGCGGGGACAGGGCGCCCAGCGGGGTGTGGCAGACTCCCTGCTGGGGCTCCAGAGCTTGTTCTAGAGCTGACTCTGGGTTGGTTTGGGTTAGAGAGATGCAGAAAAGGAAAGAAGGGGTGACCCAGCCTGGTGGGTCCCCGAAGCCTTTTGCAGCTGGGCATTTGGGTGGGGGGTTGCAACAGATTGGTCCTTGGCAGGAGCAGAATGTGGGACTGGGCCAGTGAGGCCCGTCTGGGTCTGACTGTACCCCACCTCTGCAGACCACCCGCAGCTCCTGCACCCTTCGGTGCCCCCCGACCTCACCGCCAGCGCCGGCATCTACCGCGGGCCCGTGTACGCCCTGCAGGACTCGGCCGACAAGATCCCCATGACCAACTCGCCCCTGCTGGACCCCCTGCCCAGCCTCAAGATCAAGGTCTACAGCTCCGGCACCACGGGCTCCGGGCCAGGCCTGCCCGACGGGGCTGACCTGCTGGGGGTCCTGCCGCCCGGCACGTACCCCGGCGACTACTCCCGGGACCCCCACTTCATGCACCTGCGCAGCGCCAGCCTCGGCTCCCAGCAGCTCCTGGGCCTGCCCCGGGACCCGGGCAGCAGCGTCAGCGGCACTTTCGGCTGCCTGGGCGGGCGGCTCAGTATCCCCGGCACAGGTGGGTCCCTCTCCGCTTGCCTGGCAGCATGGCCTGGGCCCATCCTCTGACAGCCCCAGCCCCCTGCCCCCATTCACAGATGGGGAAAGCGAGGCCCAGGGGGGGAGATGTGACTATAAAAGAGAAGGCCTGGGGTCTTAGCCTGTCTCTGCCTCACTGTGGCAGGGGAACCTTGGTCCAGCCACGCTCTAAGCCTCAGTTTCTCTGTCTGTTAAGTGGGGAGAGGTTGCCCCATTGTAATCAACAAAACTACAGTGCTTTCTGGCATCAGAAAGGGCAGTGGTGCCCATCTCAAGGGTGCAAAGCCCAGTTAACAATTACCCAGCGTCATACCCGAGGCTGGGACCTTCAGACGCCAGGTCTCTGCCCCTTCTCCACCCCACTGCAAGGCCAGAGGTCCCGGTGCTCGGACAGGCCCTCTGGTCAGTGGCCGGGCCTCGCGTTGCGCCCAGTGTCCAGGCCTTCTCTCCCAGCCCCCGCTGGTGACCGCCTGTTCGAAGCCCCTGGACTCCCTTCAGCCCCTCCCTGCTGACCTCTCTCTCCCCCTAGGGGTCAGCCTGCTGGTGCCCAACGGAGCCATCCCTCAGGGCAAGTTCTACGAAATGTACCTCCTCATCAACAAGGCAGAGAACGCCCTGTGAGTAGAAACCCCAGCCCTGGCCCGGGCTGCCCACTGCGCTTCCCCTTTCCCTGCTGCCTGCTTACCCTGGGCTCACATATCCTCTTCTCCCCGCTTGAGCCTGAGCCTAGGCAGGCGCCAGTCCGCCGAGGAAGACATGGCTGGTCCAAAACGTGCAGGACCAGCACAACAAATCACAGAACCTGAAAGGCAATTTACAAGCTAGCCACAACATGACAAAGGGTAATCTCCTTACGATGCAGAGAGGTTTTAGAGACCAATGAAAAAAATTTAACATCTCAGTACAAAAACGGGCAAAGGATATGAACAGTGATTTACACACACTTTTTGTTTTGTGTGCGAGCGCGCGCACACACACACACACACACACACACACACACACACACCAGCCAATAGGTTATGAGAAATTGTTCAACCTAATTTGTAGTCCAATAGTAACTCAAACGGCCGTGAGATATTGGAAGGTTTTTTTTTGCTTCATGAATTCATAAAGATTTATATTTCAATATAAATGCCTTCATGCCAGCAAAAGCGTGGCACGCAGCCCGCCATGGCATGCTGGCAGGAGTGTGGAGCGGTACCAGCTTCCCAGAGGACAGTGGAGCAGCTCCATTAAAACACTCCACGAGGCCGAGACTGGTTTGGCTCAATGGATAGAGCGTCGGCTTGGGGACTGAAGGGTCCCGGGTTCAATTCCGGTCAAGGGCATGTACCTTGGTTGCGGGCATATCCCCAGTAGGGGGTGTGCAAGAGGCAGCTGATTGATGACTCTCTCTCATCGATGTTTCTAACTCTCTATGTCTCTCCCTTCCTCTCTGTGTACAAAATCAGTAAAATATATATTTAAAAAAAAAAAAAAAAAAACACTCCACGAGACTCTGGCTGGTTCGGCTCAGTGGAGAGAGCATCGGCCTGTGGACTGCAAGTTCCCGGGTTGAATTCCAGTCAAGGGCACATGCCCAGGTTGCAGGCTCAATCCCCAATAGGGGACATGGAGGAGGCAGCCAGTCAATAACTCTCTCATCATTGATGTTTCTATCTCTCTCTCTGTCCCTCTCCCTTCCTCTCTGAAATCAATAAAAATAAATTAAAAAAAAAAAACTAAAACAAAAAAACTCCACGAGTGCAGAGTCTGAAATGTGAGCAAAGGTTTGGCTGTGAGGACGTCATAGGGCGATAGCAAAAACCAGAAACAACCTGCAGGTTAAGCCATTTCTCTGCCTCTCCTTAACCCCTGACCTCTGGGAGCCCCAGGGGTGGAGGCCTGCCCTCTGTCACCCAGGAACAGGAATAGAGGTGGGAGAGCCCAGCACCCATCTAAGCCCTGGCTGAGCGCTCGGCCTCCCCTCACTGCCGCCTCCTGTCCCCAGCCCCCTTCTGGAAGGGACCCAGACAGTATTGAGCCCCTCGGTGACCTGCGGGCCCACAGGCCTCCTGCTGTGCCGCCCCGTCATCCTCACGGTGCCCCACTGTGCCGAAGTCAGTGCCAGCAGCTGGATCTTCCAGCTCAAGACCCAGGCCCACCAGGGCCACTGGGAGGTGAGCATCCACAGCCGGGGGGCCGGGCCCACCATCTGAACCTGCCTGCTTTCCCCTGGCCCGACCTGGACGGACCTTGCACAGCCTTGACTGTGACCTGTCCTCCCCACCCCCGCTCTCACTTTGCAGGAGGTGGTGACCCTGGATGAGGAGACCCTGGATACCCCTTGCTACTGCCAGCTGGAGGCCAGGTCCTGCCACATCCTGCTAGACCAGCTGGGTACCTACGTGTTCACGGGTGAGTCCTACTCCCGCTCAGCGGTGAAGCGGCTCCAGCTGGCCATCTTCGCCCCCGCCCTCTGCACATCGCTGGAGTACAGCCTCAGGGTCTACTGCCTGGAGGACACACCGGGAGCGTTGAAGGTAAGGCCAGGCCACAGGTACACGCACAGCCCTGGCACACTGTAGATACATCACCTCTGGCCAGCCAGCTGCATGGTACCTTCTTGTATTCCCCTCCCCAAGGTCATGGTATCTTTCAGGCACCCTCTGCCATCATCAGCCTCATTCATTCATTCATTCATTCATTCCTCAAACATTGAAATGGCATCAGACTCTGCGATACAGAGGGATTGGGCACAGGTCTTCACCAATCTCCAGGCTGAAGATGGGAGTCCCTGATGGTGGCCATCCAGACTGCTGAGGGAGCACCCGCCTGGAATGGGCTTCCCGGGCCCGGGGTTGGGGGAGGGGTCAGAGAAAGCCTCCCAGCAGAGCTGGCAGGTTCCAAAGGATGGGTAAGCATGTGGATAGAGGATGAAGGGCATTCCTGGAGGCAACAGCTTCTGTAGAGGCAGGTGTGTCTTTCTGCGGGACCGAAGCATGCAGAGGGTGTGAGCGTGTGAGGGAGGAGGATGGGGCGAGACAGGCCGAGCTCAGCTTCCCAGCACTCCCTGGGCTGTGCCAAGGGATTTGGAACTTGTCCGGAGGGCAGGGGCATCGACCTGGAGGACCCTGTTCACAGGTGCAGCTCCTTTGTCTCCTAGTCTCATGTGACTTGTCTCAAACTCTGAGTTGCCAGATGATGCAACAGAGGTGAAAAGGCCTCGTGGGAGAGTGAGTGCCGCCTACTGGGACCACTCGGGCCTGAAGGCCAGGAGGTCCAAATGGCCTGGAGACTCCTGGGGAATGGCCTGGTGGCCTGGAATCATACTGGGCCATTGGCTGATGGCCTGCTTTGCTCAGGGATTGGAGTGGAGATTAAGAGGGACGTTGCCACATTTTGGCATGATGGCATTCTTTGTTACTCAGTTCTGGTCCATCTGTCCATCCTCCATCCATCCATTCATCCATCCATCCATCTAACTTTCTGCCTATCTCTCTACCTACTCTTTCAGTCAACAGTCCCTCTGTCCATCCAGCTTTCACACATCTACCCATTTACCTGTCCCTCCATCTGTCCTTCTACTTTACAACCATCCGTTTGTATATCTATCTGTAGATCCATCTCTCTGTCTGTCTCTATCCATATCTGTTTATCCAGCCATTTATCCATCCATCAGTTCATCTACCGATCCATTTATGTATAAATCCATTTATACATCCATCCCACTATTTGTTCATTTATCTACCCACTTTTTTCCTGTCTATCTGTCCACATGTCTATCTGTCCACATGTCCATAAGCCTTCTATGAGCATTTACCCAATGCCCAGTCTGTGTTCAGGTGGGTCTCCGCCCTCCAAGTTTCAGCCTGGTGCCCTCCGCCTGAGTCTGTCCCAGCCCCCGAGCTTGCAGTAGGAAAGAGCCCATTGGCCAAGTGCGATGGGCTCCCCTTCCTGTTTCCCCGCCCACAGGAGGTGCTGGAGCTGGAGAGGACCTTGGGCGGGTACCTCGTGGAGGAGCCCAAACCCCTGCTGTTCAAGGACAGTTACCACAACCTGCGCCTCTCCCTGCACGACATCCCGCACACCCACTGGAGGAGCAAGCTGCTGGCCAAGTACCAGGTGAGGGCCGGGCTGCAGGGTGGGGAGAGCTGGGGCTGGGCTGGGGCTGGGGCTGGGGCTGGGCTGGAGTGGGGACCTGCCCAGGGAAGACCAGTTTCCCCTCCCAGATTCTGCTCCCCCCTCAACCCTGCAGCCTTGCCCCTCCGTCTTTGTCTCCCTCCCACCCCCCCTGCCAGGCTCCCTTCCAGTCCTGCCTAGGCACACCCCCACCATGGACAGCCACACTCCCCTCCCACCCACTCCCCATGCACAGATGTCTCCCACATCCTCCTCCAAGATGCCTCACCCTCCCCAAGAGCACCCACGCCTGGCAGACCATCCAAACTTACCTACGATGGTCACACCCCTCTGCCACACCCGCCTGGGACACCACCGAGTCCATTGGCTCCCCAGCCCCAGGCACATGCACACATGCACAAACACACACATTCAGATTGTGCCTCCTTCTTCCCTTTCTCAGCTGAAGGGCCCTTGACCAGCTCTTGCTCTTCCCTGTTGGATGGAGAGGCCTGAACTGCCCCCTGAGAGGCCCCAGCCCTCCCTGCACTGGCCCATCACCTCCTCTGCCGTCACTCCCGGCGGCCTGGGCAGGCCGGGCTTGTCTCCTTGACCCGCCTCCTCCTTCCGCAGGAGATCCCCTTCTGTCACATCTGGAGTGGCAGCCAGAGGGCCCTTCACTGCACCTTCTCCCTGGAGAGGCACAGCCTGGCCGCCACCGAGTTCACCTGCAAGATCTGCGTGCGGCAGGTGGAGGGGGAGGGCCAGATCTTCCAGCTGCACACCACGCTGGCAGAGGTGAGGCGGGAGGGCTGGGGCAGCATGCACACCCCGTGCTCGCCCCCCGTCTGAGTGGAAACGCCATCTCGCACAGAGACATGCCCCCAGTCTGAGCTGGGACTTGGGCCCTTTTTGCCAAGTCCCATTTGTTGAGTGCCTACCCTGTGCTTGGCATGTATTGTGCTTGGCATATATTGTACCTAGATTTTCTCACTCAGTCTCCACAGCCACCAGGGAAACAAACCCAGTGATTCCCCCCCCCAGGAGATGAAAACATAGGTTCCAGGGAGGGCAGGTACCATGGACCTGTGTCGGGACCTTGCTCCGCCCCAGCCTGCAGCTCTGCACCCTTGTAAACCTGGATTGAGGTCCACGAAAGCCAGGCCACCAGGGGGCAGTGGTGAGCCTTCCTGGCGGTGCTGTGGGGAAGAGCACTGGCTGGCCGAAACCGATTTGGCTCAGTCGATGGAGCATCGGCCTGTGGACTGAAGGGTCCCAGGTTCAATCCCGATCAGGGGCATGTACCTTGGTTGCAGGCACATCCCCAGAAGGGGGTATGCAGGAGGCAGCTGACCGATGTTTCTCTCTCATCGATGTTTCTAACTCTCTTCCTCTCTGTAAAAAAGTCAATAAAATATATATATTTTTAAAAAAAGAGCACTGGCTGTGGGCCCGGGCCCAGTTCTGCCACCAGTGTGGCATGTGATCATGGCAGGTCACTTTCTATTCTAGACTTCGGGCTCCTCATGGCTCCCTCGCCTTGAGGCTGCATTAGCATCCGCCCTGGGCAGTCCACTAGCCTGATGCGCCCCCTGAGGGCCGGGGCTCAGGCGTGCAGCCCTGGCTCACAGGGGCTGAGCCTCTAGGGGAGAAGAAGGCCTTTGACTAAGCGTTTGCGGCCTGTCTGGGGCAGGTGGGGACTGACTAGAGCCTCCTCTGCCCCTCTCACTCTCGCCCCCCTGCCCTTCCAGACACCAGCCGGTTCCCTGGACGCCCTCTGCTCTGCTCCCAGTGGCGCACTCACCACCCAGCTGGGCCCCTACGCCTTCAAGATCCCGCTGTCCATCCGCCAGAAGATATGCAATAGCCTGGACGCCCCGAACTCGCGGGGCAATGACTGGCGCCTGCTGGCGAAGAAGCTCTCCATGGACCGGTGAGTGCTGGGACCCGGCCCCCTGAGTGTGCAGAGTCCGAGACGCCGGTTGATTAATGAATGAGAGGCTGGCGCTTACGTGCTGGCCTGCGGCAGTCAGGTGAGGCCAGGCCCAGCCAGGCCCAGCACTGTCAGCACCCTGGTGCCTGGAGCAGGGAGAGCCCCCGCGTGCTGAGGAACAGAAACAGCGTGGAGTCAGACTTTCCTGGAGACCTTAAAATGCTGGGTAAACACAGGGGCAGTAATGGCCGTTATCATGATGTCACACTGACGGGGAAACCACTTCCTACACCTGCCCTGAGCACACGCCAGGTTTAGGACATGGTAGTAGAAACGGGTGGGGTTTGCGAAAACGTCTAAGGCTCTCTCCCTGCTCTCGGGAGCCCACGGGGCCGGGCCGGCAGGGCTGGACGTAGGAGGAGGAAGAGAGAATGGAGAGCTGGTTTCTCCAGCCACTCCGGACCAGTGTCTTTCAGTGATAATGATGAGGTGATGAATGGTGATGAGCAAGACAGGTCCCATGTTTTAGCCGAAGAGACGAAAGCTCAGAGAGGTGCAGCGGCTTGCCCAGGGCCACACAGCCTGCAAGCAGAGGAACTGGGACTCAGACCCAGGACTGGGGGACTGAGCCCCCAGGCGCCCCCCTCCTCACTCTCTCCCCACACCTGGGTTTCGGGCGGTGTTGAGCTCTGGGGCAGCCCGGTACCCTTCTTCCCTCCCTCCACCAGGTACCTGAACTACTTTGCCACCAAAGCGAGCCCCACGGGGGTGATCCTGGACCTCTGGGAAGCTCTCCAGCAGGACGACGGGGACCTCAACAGCCTGGCCAGTGCCTTGGAGGAGATGGGCAAGAGTGAGATGCTGGTGGCCATGGCCACCGACGGGGACTGCTGAGCCACCCTGACTGCGGGCTGCTAGGGACTGGCCGGAGGCGGGTGCAAGGAGGTCCGGGCACCTCCTATGTGGCAGCTCACCTCTGCTGACCCCCAGTTCCCAGCCAGACCCACCCTCCTCTTCCTAGCCTTGCCGTACCCCAGACCACGACCAGCCTTAGGAATCCATGGACTCTGGTGTTCCTCTCCCCGCTCTCCACCATCTCTCCTGGCTCAGTCCTTTGTGCAGAAACCAGGGTGGGCTGAGGCCTCTGGAAACCGGGGAGCAAGGGGGTGGCCCTCCCTCCACCCCCCACCCTCTGCCTGCAGCCCTGGCTTGTTTTCGTTTCGTTCTCACTTCTCTTCCTCGGCCAATGATTTCCCCCCGCTCCCTGAGCCCTCTGTCTTCACGCCATTTTCCTCTCTGAAGGTCAGTCAAGTACACATGCTTTCTCCGTCCAAAAGCTAAAAGGAAAGGAAGCAACTTGCTTCAGGAAGAAGAAAAACACCAAAACCACAAGGGAAAAGAAAACCCCCCGTTTCTTAGGAAACGCAAATGATTTATTATCCAGGTATTTGGATACGTCCTTTTTAAGAAAAAAAAAAAAAGAAAAAGAAAAAGAAAAAAACAACACACACAAAAAAACAGAAAACTCTTTTCTTGCGTGTGGGTGTGCTCATGGTTCTGGCCAGGAGCGAGAGTGAGTGTGAGTGTGTGTGTGTGTGTGTGTGTGTGTGTGTGAGAGAGAGAGAGAGAGAGAGAGGGAGAGGGAGAGGGAGAGGGAGAGGGAGGGAGAGGCAGAGGCAGAGGCAGAGGCAGAGGCTAAAGACAGAACACTTTGCTGCTGCTGATCCATCTTGGACTGGTTTATACCAGGCCTCCGTGCCCCAGTTGTAAAGGCTCAAATGGTACACATTTTGCTCTTAAGCAGACGCCGTGCACGTAAAGCCAAGGAGCCGTGGAGTGGAGTGAGGGGGGCTCTCCCTCCGTCCCAGGCAGACGCCCCCGGGCCTCTGGGCCCTGGGATGGGACATGCGGGCCCCGGGCCAGCTGTGCGCCTTGGAGATGGCTTCCAGCACCGGATCCGGTGGCCCGTGGAGAGGGGGTGTGGCCCAGAAGCAGGGCCCTAGCGGAGAAAGGTGTGGGGGATGAGGGCCCCCTCCCCAGACACCTCTACTCTCCCCTAGGGCGGGGCCAGCCAGGGGCCCCCTCCCAGCAGCCCCTGGAGCAGGTGGGCATTCCCCTGAACCCAGGCGTCAGGAGGCAGCCTTCCCAGCCTGTTCCTCTTCTGTGAGACAAGGTGGAGGGGGGGGCTTGTGAGCAGCACAGCCTGTCTGTCTGGGCCTCGGTGTGGCTCCGAAAGGTGTGCGGACAGCGGCCCTGCAGCAGGAGGCGGGGAGTGGGTGGCCCGCCTGCACGAACATGCCTTCCTCCCGCCCCCTGGAGGCGTTTTCCCAGCTCTGGTCTCCGCAGGCATCTCCCTCCCTCCTCCTCTCACCCTGCCTCTGCTCTGGGAGATGTTGAGGTAGGTCACCTTTGAGCAGGAAGGGATGCCACAGTGGAGGGCTGCACCCCTCACCAGCCTGGACCGGAATGTCCTGAGGGGCCAGCAGGGCCGCAAATTGGGGAGGGATGGTCCCGGCCCTTTGCAGCTGCCTGACAATGGCTGGGACCAGGCAGCTGGCACGGAGACCTCATTAAAGGCCTTCCTTGGCACCCAGGCGAGGCAAGCGCCAGCTCGCCGGCAGCTCCGGGCACTGACCCCGTGGCTTGCCCCAGCAGGCCCAGCAGCAGCTGCGGGGACCAGCCTGGGCACGGCCTGGCCTTTGAAAGGCTGCTTTGGGGCTGCAGTCCGAGCCAGCATCCCCAGCCTGGCTTCCTGCCACCCGCAGCCTCCTTGGGGTGGGGGTCGGCCGTGGGCAGGTGAGGTCCTGCCCCGAGTTTGAGAGAGGATCCCCTGTGTTGGGACTGAAGGGGAGGGGCCTGCCTCAGGGACTGGGATTCCAGCTCCTGACCCAGAGCTCATGTGGATGCTGCCTCCCTGGGGCTCAGCCTCCCTGATCACTCCCAGCCCACGCCATGGGGCCTGTGTGTCAGCGTGGAGCTGGCAGCATCCCCAATGCCACCCGGTGCCCTGCCCACCACAGGCTCTAGACTGGCCACGGCCCCTGCAGCCCAGACCAGCACTCAGCCCGCAGCGGTGCCGTGGAGCTGGGGGGCTCGGGCCTGTGGCCGCCCCCTCTGCGCCTCTTCCTTCCTCCACCTCCGGGGCCCGCAGCTGCTGTGCGGGGCCCTCGTTCTAGGCTCCGATGGGAACCCGGGCCGTAGAAGCTCTGTGCTCTGCCTGCCCCACCCCCAGGCTTGCTCAGGGCCTGGGACAAGAAGAGCAATCGGGAAGCTCTCAGTCCGGTTTTGTAAGAAAAGCAGCCAGGAGGGGGTTCCTGGCTCCGCCCATCTACCGAGGCTGCTGTGACTTCATCCCACGCGGCCGCCTCAGGTGGCATTCAGGCAGCCCCACGCGCCCAGGCGCATGGAAAGCTGCAGGCCAGGGCCCACTGCGGGGCCGGTGTGGCCCTCAGGTGGGCGTCTCTGTCTCTCTCCTCTCTGGTATATTTGTGCTCGAGTGTGTGCGCACGTGCTGTGTGTGTGTGTGTGTGTGTGTGTGTGTGTGTGCATGTGCTCTGCGTGTGTGTGTGTGTGTGTGTGTGTGCGCGCGCATGTGCTCTGTGTGTGTGTGTGTGTGTGCGCACACGGGCACATCAGGGCTCCCCTCGGGAAGCGTGTCCCCGCTCGTGTGAGTGTGCCTCCTCCAGTCCCCGTGGGGACGTGCGGAGGCGGCGTGCCTGTCTGCTGCCCTCTCTGAGTCCACAGGGTCCGTCGGTGTATCCTCTACGTGCCTCTCCCTCCGCCCTCTCTGAAGTGCCCCGGGATCCAGGGCCTCGTCCCCTTCCCCCACTGCCGGCAGCTGAGCCAGGTCCCTCCGCAGGTCCTCTGAGGGGGGGTGACTCTGGAGCTCGGGGTCAGGGAAAGGCTCTCCTGGGGGCACAGGGCTGGACCCCCTGCCTGGGCCGCGTCCATCCGGGGGCTGCAGGAATGGCCCCGTCCCGCCTGTCTGTTCTGTAAACTAAAGCCTGTACATAACATTTAGCATTCCTATTGTAACAGAATTAATTTTTATGAAATAAATTATATTTCCTAGTCTAATTAAAAAAAAAAAAAAAAAAACCCTCCGGGTTACAGTCTGCTGTCTTCTGGACCGTCTTTCTCAGCAGCTGGGAGTGACTTTCCCACTTTCGGGGTTCAGAGGGGAGGAGGTCTCTGCCAGGACTCTGAGCTCCTGGAAATGATCAAGCTCAACTGCCTTGTTTTACGGAAGGGAAAGCTGGCCCAGAGAGGGCCAGGGACTGCCCCATCGTCACACAGCAAGTTCAAGCCCAGGCTGGATCTGGATCTCAGCCCCTCTCTCTTCCCCTCTCCCTCCCCCCCCTCCAATCAGTGCTCTCCGTGCAAAAGCGCTGTGTGCAGGGGCAATCATTGAGCCTTCCGTAGACTGGAGATGTGTGTGGTGGGGGGAGTCAGAGGGAGCCCCAGTGCCCCTGTCTGCCTGTGGGGTTCAGCTGGGCTGAGGCTGAGCGGACAGTTCAGAGCCCTCGCTTGGGACAGGAGAAGTCGTGCAGCAGAAAAGCAGTGGCGAGTGGGCTGGGACCGGGTGGCGGGACCCAGGGTGCCTTCCTGCTTGGGCGGGTTACACCCTGGAGGGGAATGCCTTAGATGGGGAGGGGCTGCCCTTCCCACGGGGATTGTGGACTTGAGTGTTCAGGATGAGGCGCTTCCGGCAGCGGCAGGAGAGGATCCTGTCCCAATAAAATCGCACTGAGCTGCCTTTCCCACCGGTGGGAGTGTCCTGAGGGGGCTTGTATTTCTATGTGCCCGTTCCAGCCGGCCCCCTCTGCCCTGTGCACCTCAGGCCTCGGAGTGGGTCTGGCCCTGGCATTTCCCAGCATGCACTGCCTGCTCTGTGCGTGGACTCCGTGGTCCTCTTTCACAGCATGATCCCCCGTGGCCGTCGGGGAGGGGACACCGTGTTCACAAGCCATTGACAGGCCTGAGGAGTCCCACCCGAAGCAGCCGCTTCCTCAGATCAACACGGGGTGTCCCAGGTGTATTTGGCCATGGGACTCCTTTTTATGCTCTGACGTATGTGGTGCCCGGCCAGCTCTGACTCCGGGACCTGTGTCGCTTGGGGATGGAGCGCCTGTGGGCTTGTCCTCGGGGACGTAGGGCCTAGCAGGCAGGCAGGAGGTCTGCACATGTACACACAGCCCCTCCGCTCAGACTGTCCGCACTCCCTGCTTCCCTGGCCGTCACGGTCCAGTGGGCCAGTCAGGAGGGAGAGGACAGTGTGTGTGTGTGTGTGTGTGTGTGTGTGTGTGTGTGTGTGTGTGTGAAGGGAGGCATGGCGAGTAGCCTGAGGTGGGTGCAGCCGCCCAGGGAGGGGGCGGCAGAGTCAAGTGGGCCAGTAGCTCCCACAGGCAGTTGTCTGGGTTCCTCTCTGGAGTGACAGGTGCCCATCTAAATCCCCTCACCCTCGGCCACCACCTAAGCACGGGGGCCCCTCCTGGTCACCTGCCCCTTGGTGGGACTCACAGAGTTCTGGCCTGGGAAGCAGGAGAGACCTGAATTCTAGCTCTGATTCTGTGGGGGTCACCGTCCCCCCAGCCTCGAAGTGTGGGTCTTAGACCTGCAGCTCTGCAAGGGCCCTCTGGCTGGGGTCCCGCAATTTGGGGGTGCTGGTTCTTGGAGGAGTGTGACACGCGCGCGCGTACACACACACACACACACACACACACACACGCACCGGCCCTCCTCTGTGGCAGTCCCAGAAGTAGATACAGAAGAACCAGTTAGGAGCAAAAGATGGGCTGGTTCCGATCCTGTGACCACGCGGCTGCCCAGTGAGGTGGCAGCACTGGCACCCACGTCCAGCCTACCAGCCGGCGGCCCAGCCCACAGACTCAGGCCGCACCAGCTGTTGCCCATGAAGGGTTGCTGGGTGGGTGGGCAGTTGGCTGTCTCCTCCTCCACTGAGGCCTTACGAGAAAATCCGTTTAGACCCGGTTTAAGGTCAGACTCAGGAAAACCTCATGCAGTTCTGCTTAACAAAAATGTTTTTTAAAACTTTAACCCATTTTGATTTAAGACAACATACATGCCTCTGGTGTGAGAGAAGTCAAAAGGTAGAAATGAACAGATGAAAAGTCGATTCCTCTCCCCAGGCCTCCCCCAGAGAGGCCGCTGTCACACATCCTCCCGGGAGATCTGTGCGGATACAAGCATATTGGCATGTAAATATTTAAATAGAGTGGATTTGATCCAAGACTCAAGCCTTCGAGGTATTAACACAAAACAGTTTTATTTTTCCAATAACCGTGCGAGCTTCATCTTGCCGGCACTGATGCTGGCTTTCCCAGCGGATAGCAGGCTCCCTTAACGGCGTCTCCACCGAGACCTCTAGCCACCCTCCCTGCCGTTGCTAAGACAGCCTCGCCTTGGTTGCAAAGGCTCAACCTGTCCACCTTGGAGCTCCGAACTCATCTTTAACTAACGTCCTCAGCTCCCCACGTGGCCACTGGGACGCTGTGGCCTGTTCTCCACGCCTCCCCTGCCCCTGCTCTTCACAGACTCAGCCAACTCCTCATTCCCAATCTGTTATGCCCAGATTTCCTGATCCCCAAAGACCACCGAGAGCCGAGTCTGATGCAAAAGCAAAAGAGTCTTTTTATTTTGAGCTAGCCCGAGCTCACCCCTACATACAGACGCCGCGGCAGGTGGAGGGAGAGAGCAGGTTTCTCTAGAACAAAGGATTTATAGGGGCGGTGAGGTCACTGCTTTGGCTGACCCCAATTGGTTGGGTGAGGGCTAGGGTCCAGTTACATAGTGACATAGTTATACAAAATGGAGGACAGCAGCACAAATTGGAGTCTGGAGTTAACCCTGTCCTGCCCTCTCGCATCCTCTTCCCCCGCACCTCCTCCCTCTCACTTTATGGGAAAGCTGCCATCACACCCACCGGCACCTGCACGGAGCCCTCTCCGCGCTGGGCCTGGAGACTTCTCCGAGGGGCGCTGTTCCTAGCTGAGTCCCCGCCCTGGGTGCCACAGTCCAGGGCAGGGGGACCTCCCGGTTGGGAACCCCCAGGTCCTGGTTTTCAGAACACACACTGGCCAGTGGAATGGGGCTCCTGGCTCGCTGCCCAGCAGCTGTCTGGGCACACAGTGCTGGTCACCCCGGGGCCCCAGGGCTGGGTGCACACGGCCTCAGAGCCCGCAGTCCAGGGAGAGGCAGGAAGAGACGGGCAGGGGTCCCGCGAGGCTTTCTGGAAGAGACGCTCCTTTGGAAGCGGTTTCCCAGGTGCATGTTCTGGGGGAGATGCTTTCCGGCACAGCTTTGCAGCATCTGCTTTTCACGCGATGTCGTGCTGAGAGAAGAAGCTGATGTTCTGGCAGCAGGGGTGTCCAACCGTCCCGGCTGCTGCCTGCCGCAGGTGCACGATTTGGGGGTGTGTGTGGGGTGTGCAGGGAGAGTCGGTGTCCTCTCAGTGGCCCTAGCCTGCGCCGTGGGGCGTGGGGGAGGGCTCCAGGGAGTCCGTGCTGTCCCAGCAGCCATGGGGGCTGGCTCAGCCCAGGCCTCACTGGGGTGGCTTCAATCTGCTCACTCCTGTTCCTAGGAAGCTGTCCCCACCCCAGGAGAAGGTCCGGGACACCTGGAAATCTGGTCAGTATTTAGTGATCTTCTCCCTGAGGGGGCACAACCCAGGGGCAGGGATGCTGAATCAGGCAGCTCCCAGCAGAATAGGAAGTGAGTCCATGGCTGCTCCGCCAGGACTGAGGGGCAGCCAGCCTGGGAGGGTTACCAGCAGAGCAGGAGGCCGGAGGTCATGCAGTGG